TCAAAGAGGTGTGTGTGCTTGTGCCAAAAGGGCTGTACATCAAGCAATGGTTTCACTGGTGTAGGTAGTAGGCAGCTAATGTACCAAACAAGGAGGTACTACCGTCTGGGAAGATATTGGAAGCATAATGTATTGTCTAATGGTAGACCCTGCTGCTATGTGACCAAGTCCCAGGTTGACAATCTGACTTTCTGCAGGGTCTCAATTGTTTCTCTTACTTTGACAACACAACATACATACAGGTATATTGTTTCTCACTCTTGATATTTTTTTTTTCATTTTTGTATTTCTTTATTATAATTATTATTATTATTATTATTATTATTATTATTATTATTATTATTATTATTATTATTATTATATTTTCGCCCCCTAGGCCTGTGCCCAGGTGGGCTAAAACCTGTATTTTTTTTTTTTTTTAGAATTTCATTTCCAAAATCAGGGTGCGTCTTCCACGATGCAGCGTCTTCCAAGCCGAAAAATACGGTATATATATACTGTATATCTCGGCCTATAAGGCGTCGGGGTGCATAAGACGGCCCCCCTAAATTTCCATTTAAAAAGTAGCTTTTGAGCTATATAAGACCAGTACCCCAAATGTGACACTTACCCACTGACTCAGTAGTCCTCTACCAACCATCCTTGGTTTTTTAAAATAAGGCCAATTCACTTCAAGTAATGTCATCAAATGTTACCCGCTGGTGTAGTGTAAACACTAGTGACGTCACTGAAGCGTCTGCTATTTACCGGTAACTGGAACTAATGTCGGTGTCGAGTAAAATTTTTACATTTACAGGACTTGAAATGGATTTACCGATTTATTTGTTTATTTATTTATTTATAATATACTGTAATATATTAAACACACTGCAAGTTTTTTCTTTAATTTATACGGTTGCTTCGCATTAGACGATCGGTGGTGGGAGTGTTACCTCGTCTCGGTGGTGGGACTGTGCCGGATTTTCGAAAATGCCGGAAAACTGATGGTTACATTTGCTGTATAAGTTTAACAGAAAATGACTACCTGTACAGTCCTTTAAACAAAGAAAATTAAACACTTAAGTTAGGATAATATAATTGCCATTGCTGGATTCCTTGTAAGACCAGGAATATTTTGAATATAAATGTCATATATTTTGCACAAAAGATAACATATTTACTCAGAGTAAACATTATATCTAAAATTTGTATGTCTAATGCAAAATCTATGATGTTTATATTCAAAATGATCATCAAATTGTAAGAATTCCAGCAATGTAAATAATATTCTGGCCGGGTAATTTGTATGAATTTTATGAGCTAAAACAAATATCTTCAGTTAATAAAAAAAAAAATATTCTTCACGACACTATCTGTCAATCAAAGTACCCCAACTTGCCTCCCCCCTCTTCCAACCGCGCCAGATGGGCGGTCGGTCCCAACCCTCCCCCCCACCCCCCACCTTCCATCCCTACCAGAGAAATGTTGGGTGAAAAAACTAATTTTAACTTTTATAATAAATAATACCTCAAACTAAAGTTAGGATAATATAATTGACATTGCTGGATTCCTTGTAAGACCAGGAATATTTTGAATATAAATGTCATATATTTTGCACAAAAGATAACATATTTAATCAGAGTAAACATTATATCTAAAATTGTATGTCTAATGCAAACTCTATATGTTTATATTCAAAATGATCATCAAATTGTAAGAATTCCAGCAATGTAAAGTATATTCTGGCCAGGTAATTTGTATGAATTTTATGAGCTAAAACAAATATCTTCAGTTAATAAAAAAAAAATATTCTTCACACCGTGCCAGATGGTCGGACGGTCCCTCCCACCCCCCACCCCCCACCAACCCTCCCTACCAGATAAATGTGTGGGAAAACCAGACTATTTACCTTTTTAGTAATAAATAATACCTCAGACTGAAGTTAGGATAATATAATTGACATTGCTGGATTCCTTGTAAGACCAGGAATATTTTGAATATAAATGTCATATATTTTGCACAAAAGATAACATATTTACTCAGAGTAAACATAATATCTAAAATTTGTATGTCTAATGCAAAATCTATGATGTTTATATTCAAAATGATCATCAAATTGTAAGAATTTCAGCAATGTAAATTATATTCTGGCCGGGTAATTTGTATGAATTTAATGAGCTAAAACAAATATCTTCAGTTAATAAAAAAAAAATATTCTTCACACCGTGCCAGGTGGTCGGTCGCCGGTCCCACCCTACCAGATGAATGTGTGGGAATACCAGACTGTTTACCTTTTTAGTAATAAATAATAAATCAGACTAAAGTTAGGATAATATAATTGACATTGCTGGATTCCTTGTAAGACCAGGAATATTTTGAATATAAATGTCATATATTTTGCATAAAAGATAACATATTTACTCAGAGTAAACATTATATCTAAAATTTGTATGTCTAATACAAAATCTATGATGTTTATATTCAAAATGATCATCAAATTGTAAGAATTCCAGCAATGTAAATTATATTTTGGCCGGGTAATTTGTATGAATTTTATGAGCTAAAACAAACCTCTTCAGTTAATAAAAAAAAAAATATTCTTCACACCGTGCCAGGTGGTCGGTCGCCGGTCCCTCCCTCCCTCCCTCCCTCCCACCCCCCACCAACCCTCCCTACCAGATGAATGTGTGGGAATATCAGACTGTTTACCTTTTTAGTAATAAATAATAAATCAGACTAAAGTTAGGATAATATAATTGACATTGCTGGATTCCTTGTAAGACCAGGAATATTTTGAATATAAATGTCATATATTTTGCACAAAAGATAACATATTTACTCAGAGTAAACATTGTATCTAAAATTTGTATGTCTAATGCAAAATCTATGATGTTTATATTCAAAATTATCATCAAATTGTAAGAATTCCAGCAATGTAAATTATATTCTGGCCGGATAATTTGTATGAATTTTATGAACTAAATAAAAAAATTATACTTCATCCGCGTAAAGGGGTACACCCACCGCGGAATGTGAGCATCCTGGGTTCTGGCAGGGCACCGTGTAAACGTGGAAACGCGGAATGTGGGACCGCGTAAAGTGAGGGTTGACTGCACACATATAGAGGGGGGGGGGGGAGATAACACTGCTTATCTGAACTGTTTAAAGAAAATCAGTTATTGCTGCATTTGAACAACTAAGGTCCTTAAGTGTTAACAAGGTTATGAAAAGAATATTACATCAACAATAAAAAAAACTATGAAACAGAACTCTCAGGGCTGAAAATCACACTAAGTCTGGTTGTCAACAACTGTTGTCACTGAGATGTTATATGCAAGTAACCTCAGAATTTGTCTTTGAATAAAGAGAAAACTGTATACTGTACAGTACTATAAAGATAAATTAAGAACAAATAAGTGTAGGAGTATATTGTATGTGGAAGACGAATGTTTATCTGGGAGCAGCTGGCAGAGAGGAGGGGGAGAAGCATGGGTGGGTGGTTCCCTCCCCCTCTTTCCCCCTAAGATTCCTTTAACACTTCTTTGTGCATTTTCACCATAATTCTCATTTAGGTTCATTTGGCACCAGGTTGATAAAATATGAGCCTAAAAGAATCAGCTTTTCAGAAAAAAATCCCACACTGAACACCAGTGTAGGTAGTAGGCAGCTATCAAACAGGGAGGTACTACTGCCTGGGAAGATATTGGAAACATAATGTGTTGTCTAATGGTAGACCCTGCTGCTATAGAGCCTCACGAAAATTGTGACCAAATCCCAGGTTGGTGATCTGTCTTTCTGCCTCATTTAAACACAATTGCAGGTCTCAATTTTTTCTCTTACTTGACAATACAACATACATAAAGCATTTCTCACTACCCTCTCCCTTCTCCAGTGTTTGAATCTGCTATCCCAGTTTGTCCGCTCGTACTGAATCGCATTTATTTACTGCCATTGCTATACTCAGTGCTCGGGAACGCATCCTTATTTAACCCTTGTATTATTCCCTCCGTTATACATGTTTTCACTTTTCGAGCAGATTCCAAGGAACGTATCTACTTGTATCATCGAGATTTTATTGTATACATAACTCATCAAACTCAATAACTTATCAGTTACAGGAAACATCACTAAAACGAAATTAACATTAAAATGATACATGTAACCCATTAAGAAAATCATCACAATCTGCTCTGCTAAGTAAGATCAACTGAGCAACTAAAAGAAAAATACATAATAGCAATGAATAAAAATACATGTTGCATCTGCATAGCTAAACCACACACAGCAATTAGAGATTCAGAAAATTAGGTGGTTTCTTAAGACACTCAGACCTGCGTAGAGGCGACCTACTCTCTGGAGAATGAGCAACAGGCTGATGTGGTAACTGTGGTTTTACTACAGGCACATCAGCAAATCCGGGTCTTATGGTCTGAGTCGCTGGACCACTCTTGTCGATCTGGCTAAGTGGTGCCTCAGAGCTGTTAGGAACCTACAGAGCATGATCTTTAGTTTCCGCAGACACACCTGGCAAGTCCCCTCTCGGAGCTAGATCTCGAATTGATACAGTTGTTTCTTTGCCATCAGCAAAGCGCATGCGAACATACTGAGGGTTTGCTTCAAGAAGCTCTGCCTCATCGACAGCAGGATCGTACTTAGACTGTTTGACATGACGCCTTACACGAAAAGGTCCCAGTGAAGAAAGCCAAGTTAGAATGGAGCATCCACTAGTTGAATGACGCTGGAAGTTCAATAAACGTTCGTGTGGTGTGGCATTTGTCGCAGTTGACAGTAATGTATGTGTATCTTGTAGGACACATTCCCAGAGGGTGATGGATAAGTGTTGAGTTTTGAGTGCAAGAGTCACAGCCTTCCAAATTACCCCATTGTAGCAGTCACAGTAGCCATTTCCTTGAGGATTGTAGGGATTGGTTCAGCTGGTAGAAATCCTGTGGCTATGTAAAAAGTCACGAACTTTTGAGGACATAAAGGAGGTGACTCTGTCTGGGTGTATAAAAACAGGCATGCCAAAGATAGCGAACAGCTGGAAGAGGCATTTGATTACAGTGTGGGCCGTCATATCAGTACAAGGAAAAGCGACAGGGAAAGGAGAGAACTCATCTATCACTGTCAGCAAGTATCGATTAGAACACGATGATGTCAGTGGTCCTTTGAAGTCGATACTGAGCCTCTCAAACGGATGTGTAGCTTTGACCAAATGAGAAGTTTCTGGCTGATAGAACCTCGGCTTGCACACAGCACAAATGGAGCAGGAAGAAGTAACCTTCCTTACATAGTCTACCGAGAAAGGGAGGTTTCGTGTTCTAACAAAGTGAACCATTCGTGTGATTCCAGGATGGCAAAGAGAGTATCTTGATCAACATATTAGAACTGAAAGCAGAACAGTATGCCCTGGAAAAAGTATCTGACAGAACATTACTCTTGCCACCACTGGCACTCCTGCAGCTGCTACTCTTGCCACCACTGGCACTCCTGCAGCTGGTACTCTTGCCACCACTGGCACTCCTGCAGCTGCTACTCTTGCCACCACTGGCACTCCTGCAGCTGGTACTCTTGCCACCACTGCCACTCCTGCAGCTGGTACTCTTGCCACCACTGCCACTCCTGCAGCTGGTACTCTTGCCACCACTGGCAGCTGGTACTCTTGCCACCACTGGCACTCCTGCAGCTACTCTTGCCACCACTGCCACTCCTGCAGCTGCAGCTGGTACTCTTGCCACCACTGCCACTCCTGCAGCTGGTACTCTCGCCACTGCACTCCTGCAGCTGCTGCTCTTGCACCACTGCCACTCCACAGCTGCTACTCTTGCCACCACTGCCACTCCTGCAGCTGCTACTCTTGACACCATTGGCACTCCTGCAGCTGCTCTTGCCACCACTGGCACTCCTGCAGCTGTTATTCTTGCCACCACTGCCACTCCTGCAGCTGTTACTCTTGCCACCACTGCCACTCCTGCAGCTGGTACTCTTGCCACCACTGCCACTCCTGCAGCTGGTACTCTTGCCACCCTGCAGCTGCCTCTGCCACCACTGCCACTGCAGCTGGTACTCTTGCCACCACTGCCACTCCTGCAGCTGCTACTCTTGCCACCACTGCCATTCCTCTGGCACTCTTGCCACCACTGCAGCTGCTACTCTTGCCACACCTGCAGCTGGTACTCTTGCCACTGCCACTCCTGCAGCTGCTACTCTTGCCACCACTGCCCCCAGCTGCTCTCTCGCCACCACTGCCACTCCTGCAGCTGCTACTCTGCCACCACTGTCACTCCTGCAGCTGCTTCTTGCCACCACTGCCACTCCTGCAGCTGCTGCTCTTGCCCACTGCTGCAGCTGTTACTCTTGCCACCACTGTCACTCCTGCAGCTGCTACTTTGCCACCACTGCCACTCCTGCAGCTGGTACTCTTGCCACCACTGCCACTCCTGCAGCTGTCTTGCCACCACTGTCCCTCCTGCAGCTGGTACTCTTGCCACCACTGTCACTCCTGCAGCTACTCTTGCCACCACTGCTACTCCTGCAGCTGTTACTCTTGCCACCTGTCCTCCTGCAGCTGCTGCACTTGCCACCACTGCCACTCCTGCAGCTGCTGCCTCCTGCAGCTGGTGCTCTTGCCACCACTGCCACTCCTGCAGCTGCTACTCTTGCCACCACTGCTACTCCTGCAGCTGTTACTCTTGCCACCACTGTCCTCCTGCAGCTACTTTTACCACCAGCTGTTACTCTTGCCACTGTCACTGCAGCTGCTCTTGCCACCACTGCCACTCCTGCAGCTACTACGCCACCACTGTCACTCCTGCAGCTGCTGCTCTTGCCACCACTACTCCTGCCTGTTACTCTTACCACCACTGTCACTCCTGCAGCTGCTACTTTTGCCACCTGCCACTCCTGCAGCTGCTGCTTTTGCCATCACTGTCACTCCTGCAGCTGCTGCTCTTGCCACCACTGCCACTCCTGCAGCTGCTACTACTGCCACCCTGCAGCTGCTACTGCCACCACTGCCACTCCTGCAGCTGCTACTTTGCTGCCACCACTGTCCTCCTGCAGCTGCTACTCTTGCCACCACTGCCTCCTGCAGCTGCTACTCTCGCCACCACTGTCACTCCTGCAGCTGGTACTCTTGGCTGCTACTCTCACACCACTGTCACTCCTGCAGTTGCTACTTTGCCACCACTGCCACTCCTGCAGCTGCTACTTTGCCACCACTGTCACTCCTGCAGCTGGTACTCTTGCCACCACTGCCACTCCTGCAGCTGCCTTTGCCACCACTGCCACTCCTGCAGCTGCTGCTTTTGCCACCACTGTCACTCCTGCAGCTGCTACTCTGCCACCACTGCTACTCCCAGGTGCTACTTTGCCACCACTGCCACTCCTGCAGCTGCTACTTGCCACCACTGCCACTCCTGCAGCTGCTACTTTGCCACCACTGTCACTCCTGCAGCTGCTACTCTTGCCACCACTGCTACTCCTGCAGCTGCTACTCTCGCCACCACTGTCACTCCTGCAGCTGCTGCGCCACCACTGCCACTCCTGCAGCTGCTGCCACCACTGCCACTCCTGCAGCTGCTACTCTCACCACCACTGCACTCTGCTACTCTTACCACAGTCACTCCTGCAGCTGCCTGCCTGTCCTCCTGCAGCTGCACCACTGCCACTCCTGCAGCTACTCTGCCTCCTGCAGCTGCTACTCTTGCCACTGCCTCCTGCAGCTGCTGCTACTCTTGCCACCACTGCCACTCCTGCAGCTGCACCACTGTGCAGCACTCTTGGCTGGCCAGCTGGTACTCTTGCCAGCTGCTACTGCACCACTGCCACTCCTGCAGCTGCTCTTGCCACCACTGCAGCTGCCAGCAGCTGGTACTCTTGACTCCTGCAGCTGCTACTTTGCCACCACTGCCACTCCTGCAGCTGCTGCTCTTGCCACTGCCACTCCTGCAGCTGGTGCTCAGAGCTCGCACCACTGCCACTCCTGCACTGCACCCTGCAGCTGCCTCTTTGCCACCACTGCCACTCCTGTAGCTGCTACTATTGCCACCACTGCCACTCCTGCAGCTGGTACTCTTGCCACCACTGCCACTCCTGCAGCTGGTACTCTTGCCACCACTGCCACTCCTGCAGCTGCTACTCTTGCCACCACTGCCTGCCCACAACCCAGACTACCAAGACTGCAACTGGCCACCGTGGCATTAAAGCAAAAAGAAGGGAAAGGGCCACCTTGATGTTTCACTCGCACACATGATCTCCAGATCACAGACAAAAAGGGTTTATATTGTTGTTTGTGCTATGTGAGGCATGTGAGAAGGTGGGGCACATGCTATGAGTTTTTCATGTGTGATGTGCCACTGTGCCTTATGAATTGTTTCACTGTATCATTCAGTGCAAACCTTTCTTTATATTTTTTATTCAATTTTATGCACACACAATCGTACATACAGTACAGAATGTGAAAAAAACTAACCTCAGACCCAAAACATCGAGGGAATAAACATTTCTTTGTGTGTGAGAGTTTGAGGGAGAGCATTGTTTAGGGTCGGCAGAGGACGTGTCCCCAGTGGGGCCGGTTACTATGGCGAGGCTTGAGGCCTGCAGCTGTGTCTTATGCATACTGTATAGTGGTTGTGTTATATTTTCACTTAGATTTGCTTTAATGGTTTTAGCTGCATATTTTGATCTTGATAATATTTTATTTATATTTTTAATGTGTTAGATAGTATATTACAGTAGTTGTGTAATATTTATCATTAGTGGGTAGGCTGTTTTGTTGTTCGTGAACTGATTTCATGTTTTTGGGGTATGATATTAGGGTTTTCTTGTTATTGGAGTAACGAACCTTATTTTTCCCATATGTTCTATTATTTTATTCATTATACGAAAATCCACTTTACAAACCTTACCCATTTGACTCCTCCATACAAATGTTTGCCGATGACGCCAAGTTATTTCGAGAGATTAAGAACCAAGCGGACTGTGAAGAACTGCAGAAGGACCTCTGTGGGCTCCAGGAATGGTCGAAGAAATGGCTGCTGAGATTCAATGTCACGAAGTGTAAGAGGATGCACCTGGGGCATACCAACGGTAAGGAGGCGTATCATATGTCCCACCGGGTTGAAGAAACTGCACTAGTTGAGACTGTGTGTGAGAAGGACCTAGGTGTGTATGTTGACAATGAGCTGAAGTTCTCGGGCCATTGCGAGAAGAAGGTAAATCAGGCAAATAAATTATTGGGTCTTATAAGAAGGTCGTTCAGATATCTAGACGGTCCGTCCCTCGTAACGATCTTCAGGAGTGAAGTGCTTCCCCATCTGGAGTACTGTCACCCCGTCTGGTCCCCGAGATATGCTAGGGACTGTCAGTTGGTTGAAAATGTTCAAAGGAGGGCCACCAGACTGGTGCCTGCACTTCAGCACCTCAGCTATCCTGAGAGATTGGAGTGCCTGAACTTGCCTAGCTTATACTACAGACAGGCAAGGGGGGACCTAGTTGAGGTGTATAAGCATCTCAGGGGGCACTACTCAGTTGAGTGTCCTTACTTGGAGCTGGCGGACACTCGCCCCACAAGGGGTCACAGCTCGAGATTGAAGAAGCCGCAAGTCCAGAAAACCGTGAGGGCAAACTTTTTCGGAGTGAGGGTTGTAAACTCTTGGAACAATCTACCAGAGAGTGTTGTGACGGCACCGAGTGTGAGCTCTTTCAAGACAAGACTTGACCATCACTGGAGCAGGTTCAGGTACATTCAGGAGCCGGTGTATGCCCAGTATTTGCCAACAGTACGTGATAGAGACGTGACCGATCGCCCGGGCGGCTAGCGAGCCGATCTTTTGGTGAAGAAGTTATATGAAAAGGAAAAGTAATCAGAGACGTGACCGATCGCCCAAGCGGCTAACAAGCCAATCAGTGGCGAAGAAGATAAAAGTAAAAAAAGACATACTTGTATTATTATTATTTTTTCAATCAGAGTAGAAAAAAAAATTGTTTTGTACAGTAGTTTCTCCTATACACTTATCCCCCCATAATCGTGAGGGTAAAATTCTTGGAAATCATTGCGAATCGTGAATTCACAAATACTGAATTTAATACAGGCATCCCCGCATTACAGATTTCAAAGTTACGTAAATTGGCCCTCACCGTTTAAAAAAAAATGGGATATGGACAAAAAACTCACCCTTATTGAGTTTGGGTAAATGCCTGTAAAAAAAAATAAAAATAAAATAAAATTTTAGCCCAAATTTTTATCAAAATTGTAGAATTTATTTTGTGTGGATTCTCTGTGGTAACCATGGTTGCAACCCCACCACAACAACAACAACAGCAGTTTCAGTCAGTTTGAATTCAGCTTTGCCTCTTCAGGACTGTACTACTACTGTGTTTTCTTATTCAAGATGAGTGGAAATAGGCCCTTAAGTGCAACAGCATGCAGTGGTGGTAAGAGACCACGAATGTGCATTACATTGGAAGCAATATTATACGTGTTAAAGAGGTTTGATGAGGGAAAAAGTGGGTTACATTGCCAAAACATTGGGCCTTGTTACCGCCACTGTCAGAACCATGAGTGATAACAAGACAAAATTAGGGCTAGTGCTAAAGTTGCTACTCCATTGTTAGCCTGTACACTGTATTTTCACCTTAGTGATGTTATGATAAGTATGGTATGCTTACTGAGTGTGTGGCTTGAGGACCAGACCAAGCAAAATGTGCCCATTAACACCATGGTTATTCAGAAAAAGGTTAAGCGTCTGCACAAAGATTTGGTTAAGGAACAAGGTGCTAGTTAAACCCTTTAATGCCAGCAAAGGTTTGAACATTTTAAGAAATGCCTAAACCTCCATAACTTTAAGATGGTAGGTGAAGCAGCCAGAGCTGATACTGAGACTGCAAGGCGACACCCAGTCGAACGAGAGGCAATCATTAAGGCTGATGGATACACACCACGATAAGTGTACAATGTAGATGAAACCAGCCTGTTCTTGAAGTACATGCATGCCCAGACATTTATTTCAACAGAAGAGAAGACAGCTCCGTTTTCAAGGTTTCCAAGGATCGTGTAACTCTTCTGTTAGGGGGCAATGTTGCAGGAGATTTTAAGTTAAAGCCCATGTTTGTGTGCCAATAGCATCTTTACAGATTCCCAGTTTGGATTTAGAGCTAGAAGGTCGACTGAAGAGTGCTCTGCTATCCTTTACTAATGACATCTTAAATTCCTTTGATGACAGTCAGTTCACAGTCGGTATATTCTTGGACCTCTCAAAAGCCTTCGATACTGTCGACCATACCATCCTCCTTTCAAAGCTTGAACATTATGGCGTTAGGGGCCTGTCCCACAATTGGTTTACCTCATATCTGTCCAACAGGATGCAGTATGTCTGCTATAATAATCACCAATCTGACTCCTCACCAATCTTGTATGGCGTCCCCCAAGGTTCCATTCTCGGTTTAGTACTGTTTTTGTTGTACATAAACGACATAGTCCATGCCAGCCCACTCATAAAATACAACTTATTTGCAGATGATAGTAATCTCTATGCCAGCAACTCAGACCTCCATTCCTTGATGAGAACTATGAACGCTGAATTAACTAAAGTCAGGGCCTGGGTAATACGTAATAAACTGACCTTAAACCTTGAGAAAACCCACTACACGATCTTTCACAGAAGGAAAAACTTACCCCCAGACTTGGACCCCCTGTACCTTGGTAATACAGTCCTCGAATGCGAACAAAATACTAAATTCCTCGGAGTTATTGTTGATGAGAAACTTAACTGGAGAAACCACATACAAGCCATTCACAGTAAAGTCGATAAACAATGCTGTATCATGTATCACACTCGACAGTCACTCACTCTCACAGCAATGAAAGAAATCTATCATGATCTTGTTTACCAACACCTGATACACTGTCACATACTATGGGGGCCTCTGGCTCTTCAAAAACACAATCTCTGGTTACTGCACAAAAGAGAGTTGTACGGACTATGACCTACTTGAAAAAACAGATCATTTGCTATATTGAAAATTTTAAAATTCAAAGATATTAACACCTACTGCTGTGCCCTCTCTGTTTACAAATCTATCAATCACTTGCTTGACAATAATTATTTCCTGTTCCGGAATAATCAGAGATACAACTTAAGGCACCCAGAGCTACTAAGACAACCCCCCATGCGCTCCTCTCAGTCCCAGACCTCCATAAAATATCACGGTGTGAAGGTGTGGAACAACTTACCCCCATCCATCCGAGCAAAGACTACGCTCCCTTCCTTTAAATCATCTCTTAAAAAATATCTATTGTCTAAGTATTAATATTTCTTGCAACACTTACTATATTTACAGTACCTGCTTTTATTGTACTTGTATACCATCAAAACCGTTTTATTGGAAATTATCATGTAAATAGATAAGTAATTACCATTGCAATAAATATAATTGCCAACTAGACATAATCCTGTGCTCTATCTTCTTGTTCAACCTTATTACTGTACAACCCATGTTGTACTGCTCCCCATTATACTTATGTTTTTCAATTCCACTGTTTTTTATGTATACAGGTAGTCCCCGACTTACGACCATATGGACTTACGTCCATTGGTACTTACGACCTGCTCTGACCGTACGTCCGTCGGGACACACGACCGTTGCAGTCGTGACCAAAAATATTTTCAAATGACGCGCGCATTTTCTATACCGAAACGTTTCCGTCCGGGGCAAGAGGGTGGCGCGTCTCGGGTCGCCTCGTGGGTACACTCACTCAGTGGAGCGCTTAGTTAGTGCTTGGCTATCGTATCCTTTACTGATCGCGCTGTGAACTTTCGTTATTATCGTATTTAATTGACTTTATAATGACTGGAAAGCATACAAGAGAGAGTGCTGGTGGTGTTCCAAAGAAAAGGAGACAGGCAATTACTTTTGAGATGAAAATGAAGATAATAACACAGTATGAGAATGGAAAAACAGTAGCAACAATCTCACGCGACCTAGGTTTCTCACACTCGACTATATCCACTATTCTGAAGGACAAGGAATGTATTCATGAAATAGTGAAAGGAACAACACCTATAAAGGGAACTATAATATCAAAGAGAAGACAAGGTCCTATTCACGATATGGAAAAATTATTGGTGATATGGATAGAAGACCAGATACAGAAGCGTGTACCCTTAAGCCTTCTAACCACACAGGCTAAAGCAAGAAGCCTGTTCCAAAGCCTGAAGGAGCAGGCAGGAGA